TGTGATGCAGCATCTATCGATGACTCCTCCATATTTATTCTTATATTTCGAGGGAGAGTGTCAACTGGGGCCATAAATTCTCTTGTCAATTTGAGCAAATGTCGAATCCACAATAAAGAACGATGATGTACATATTTTTATTCTTCAGACTGGGCTTACCGGGGAAAGACTGCATGTTGAGGACAATCTGCGAAGCTAGAGCATTCCTCCATCCACCTGGTGTCTCGTTCATCGATGATTTACTGCGAGTAATTTTGAGGTAAAATATATCATTTCCCTTCGATATTGAGAATTTATGGAGAAGTCTTCGGGGGATATCAAGATGGAAAATTCTTGGAAATCATTTGTTACAGTCACGGTGAGCGTTATCCTGGTGAATTGGATCTGTATGATGCTGCTTATAAATCAGGCGAGAGTTGCGGCCTTCAGTACAAGTGTCCAATATCATTATTACAATTTCTGTTGAATAATCATCTTGTCGTTCAATAAAGATTATCAATCAAAGTCATGGAGAGCGATTTCTTGAGTGAATTTTTAATTTTAGGATTCGTTTTTCTTCTGACGCCCGGTAATTTGTGATGAATATTTATTTTCTTGTGAGGTCTAGTACGTTGACATGGCATTTTGCATAGTAATTTTCATATCTCAGACGAGATGAATCGCTAGTTAAACAATGCGGAAGGCCATGGAGAGGGGTCTTGGCCCAGTGGGTTGAGTGTCAGTAAAGAAGTGAAATTGGGTCAGGATTTGAAGTCACTGGGGGAATTTGTGGTTAACCAAGGTTCGTGACAATAGATAAGGGGCAGGGAGTTGGGCCTGATGGTAGTTTAGTTCGCAAGTCCTCCTGGGAGGCATGCAAAGATACTCCACGATCTTGTAATCTTCAGTTGTCATAAGTCTGATGCGAGGGTAGATTGCCAATTTATTCGTCGCTGTGGTTTGAATTCCGGAGTTATCACCAAAATATATTCCCGTTTCAGGACCATGTCATTTGTACTAACAATTTCTCACTCACTCTCTCACTCACTCACAAATATTTAAACATTTACTTCAATTTGTGCATTGCCTTTTTGAGTGATCAATGAATTTTTCAATTTTCAAAGAGATTATATCATTATTCAGTAAAAAATTCGTTTTTTCTTCTCGATTTGGCGTGGAATTGCCCGTTAATTTTTTTTTTTTCAACGGGAATGAAAGGCCTTCCTCGGGAAATTAAAGTTTTTTTTTTTCTGCCGTGACGAGAAAAATAAATTGTCAATGAAAATTCCTTAAAACAAAATTCCATTCCCCGGCATTCCGCCAATTCATTCCACCCATGGCATAATCTCCATATCAATTCCACCTTGAAATTTCGCATTATCACCGACCCCATGAATCAGATAATTCGCTCGAGATCCCCCGTGGATTTCGATAATCACAACCAGTGCGTTCCCCATTTTTCCACTTCGATAATGCGAAATTTATCCCATTGCATAACGACTGGAGTTTACAATTAACACGAAGCACGTGTCAACGAACCTACGAGCCTCTCTAATTGTTCGGCAAACAGCAGAGAGCACGTTTGAGAGAAATTGTTTTTAGCGTGGAAAAGAGGCGGTATTTTAGTTATGTGCCAAAAGATGTTAATGTACTCGACAATAACACACAGTAGGTGGATTTAATTTTGAAGTAACAGTTGCCATTTATCATACTGTCTGAGGTGGTTTATTGTCCAGAGGTAAGAAAATTTTTATTTATAATTATAAATAAATTTATCACGCGAAAATCGCGCGGTTTTTATTCGTTCATGAACTGACGGATTATCAATGATTATTAAATATAAATAGAATTGTTCATGAATGAAAATCCACATATGAAAATCACAAATAAATCCGACCCCCCGATGCATCAAGTGTCCTCAAAGGGTCATGCAGATATAGTCGGTTGTAATCAAAATTTTTATGATGTCCCCGTTGAATATAAGAGGTCACAAGGATCCTTCCACCGACTATTCCCATAAACTTTTTGATTGCCTTTGCTCCATCTGCATGAAAATTGCATTTCCAACCCTTTATACTGTCCACTTTGTTTTTTAAATGAACACCCATCCTGGGCATATGTTTCATATTCATTTGTATTACGAATTGTACTGGAAAGTAGAGCACGTTAAATTTATTACTCAATTTTGGCATGTACCGGAATTTCTAGACTCCCTGTGACTTGGAATTTCAGGCTAGGCTCTTGTTGCATATTCATTGCTACCCAAATCATATACAGTACAAACACGTTAAAATTCACTTTGAAAAAGTATCACTCCTTTTAATGAAGGGAATTAATTCACTATCGGGTGGGGCAAAAAAAAAAAAAACGAGGTACGTTATTCCTTTGTGGGGATATTGAACGTAGATCAATATTCTCCAAGTGAAAACTCAAATTAATTTACTGAAATCCAATGGGAGTGGAAATTCAAACACCACTACCTCCTCCTCCTCCTCCTCCTGCTCCTCCTCCTCCTTCTTCTCCTCCTCTTCCTCTTTGTTGAGAACATATTTTTTCTATTTTTCAACCGACTGCAGGAGAAAATTTGGAAAAAAATGACATTGAGGTAGAATTCTCTCCATTAATTTAGAATAACGTTTTGATGAGTCATACATGCACAAAATGAATACCTGAAGCGAGTATATACTCGATTTAAGGACACAATTAATCCCAGAATTATGAGGCGTGAGTGGATTGTGCAACGAGCGATGATTATTGATTGCATTAATCCCTGGGTGAATAAAAGTCTATCAATGCTATAATTAATGGGCGAAAAGATGTCAGGATAAAACAAAGTTTCAACCACTGGATGTCCTGAGTCTCTGTTTAAAGAAATATTTTCAAGTATCGTGCAGTCACCCTCAATCGATCATTTTCCTAGCAGTTTCACTCGAGAACTAACAATTTCCTGTTTCCTAAAGAGCTTACCGAAGTGAGTTACGAGATATTTCCACCAAGTGAAGGGATCGATCTTCCGTCTGGCGCAGGAAGTTCCATCTGAGGGTTGACGATGGCGTGTAACCATTGAGAAATATTTTTTTTTCCCGAGGAATCTTCCTTTTGCCACTTCTTGTTACACGCTAGGTGCAATCTCATACGCGGTAGCACGTAATTCTAATAAATAGGGGGGGAGGGGGGCAATTTTGAAGCATTCACTAGGGTCTCGGCGTGTGGTAATAACTATTGAATGATGGGGTAATTACAACGGCATGCGGGATAAATTGAGAAAGATTATTGCGAAAGAGTGAAAAATTTCGGATTATTATCAAATGGGAAGAATTACCCGTTTCTCATTTTTCGAAATTTTTTTTTTTTATTTGTGAAATTTAGGAAAGGGTGACTTGGGGAGAATGGGGAAAATGGGGAAAATGGGAAAAATGGAAATTCAGGGGAATTTTGAGTTGGCCTTCGAAAGCACTCGTTTAATAACAGACCCAGTGAATTGAATGAAAATTGTGGCCCTCGACTCTCCATCGATCCGGGAGAGAGCTCCTGTGTCAGGATAAAGAATTCCACCTCCTTCGCTCACTCGACTAGCTTTTAGAGGGCTCCTACACTCCAGAATACCCTTAATCCTGGCCTCAGCCAGGAACTAAGACTCCAGATTCCTCTTTGCTTCAAATTCACCCCTTGCCACCCACCAGAATTTCACGCGACGTGAGTCGGTGAGAAATAAAAATCATTGGGGAAAAAAAAATCGACATTTGACTTTGATTCCCGGAGACGTTAAAGTGACGATGGGTTTTCCCTCCCCCATCAGCAGGAATTCGACAATATTCGAGGCATTGGGATGAGGTAAAAGGAGATGGGACTGACTGTGAGACATGAGTATGCAGGGGTGTGAGAAGTTGCACAGTAGACACAACCCGAAGATCGATTGTTAGACGTGTCACACTCGCGCTGAGAGGTATCCAGTGGCTGTTCCTAGGTATCTAGGAATACATGAGAACATGAAAAAGATCTACGACTGGCTCGTTCCGGAATTTCGTGATACTGAGGTCGGTTGGGTGGAGGGATTGGAAGGGGCGTGAAAGGGATGAGGGACACGAACTCATCCAGAACTTGTTTCAGTGGGTGACTAATGCTCGACAATTGTGGCCACGAAAACAGGATCCAATTTTAACTCACCTCCATTGTACACTGTTTGGAGGTAGGTTGAAATTTTATAATTAATTGGACTGCTCGAACGTTGTGGAGAAGAGGTGGTGAGGTGTGTAGGGGTTGTTTCGCTCGAGGGAAAAAACTATCTTAACGTCAAGATAAATGTCATAATTTATTCTTACATTGGACTCGTCAGCCGAAGTTTATTTGAGTTAATAAAGTAATTGGTACGAGATTTATGTTGGATAATGAGTGAGAAATGGAGGAGGAGAGTGTCAAATTGAGGGTTCAGTGGATAAAAAATAATCTGTCCTAGTTGGAGGGTTGAATTGAATTATGACAACTGGGACAGCCTGAGTATTTACACCAAGTTTCTTCGTTTCTTTCATTATTCACTTGGATAAATATTGAAAGCTCCGGCTTGGCTATTGATTTTGGGATGTTTCATTAACTAAGAGTGTTTGGCTTTCTTTCAGGATTTTCGGTGACTCGGGATCTTTCCGGAGAGGATTGGAAGTTATGGAGTGGAGCCACGGGGGATTGACGTTGTGTATTCTATTTAGTGTTCTGGGCACTGTTTCTTTAAGCAGTGAGGGGAGAGTGCTGTCCAGGAGGAGACGTTACGTCGTTTTTCCGGAAGGTTCGAGCTTCTCCGTAAGTGATTTTTTCTGTTTTGGTCAGACATCACCGCTACCACTCCACACGGGGTGAACCAATCAATTCATTCTTACAGATATTAAATAATTCTCTGAAATTTGAATGTGCAGGTTGCCTTGTGCATGACGATTCACACATTGACCCCTGATAATATTTTCACGGAGGGTCTCAATTGGGGCATCTCCTATGATTTACCCAATGAGAGTAAACCAGCACTTGAACCATTTCTCCAGTTACGCAAGGATCGACCAATTCCTGAGAAGTACCACTCTCAAGTAAGCAAGCATCGTAACATCAAAAACGAGAATTCACTCAACTACAACAATTGGTACAAGAGCACTGACAATAGGTACTACAATCTCGATTACGGTAAAAAGTACTATTATCGGAAATCGGATTACGACTACATTAAACGACGACATCGTCGAGAGCTCTACAACAAGTTGGAGGTGATCATGAACGCGTGAGTGTCCTCACCTTATTTTCAATGATTATCCAGTTGTTTTACATCGGATTAAAATTATCAGTGATTAAAACATACGGGCTACATACCCCCATAAATATATACGGCCTATATCTGTCAACAATATTTTTTCACATTCATGAATATATATTCATTTCTCACCGATGAATATGCAGCTCCAGACCGAATAATTCAAACTGATTATTCTTCCTCAAAGCCGCGAACTGTTGTTTTTCAAACGAGCACAAGCATAAAAATAATCAATTCCCCAGGTGATGAGGATAAATCTGGTTATATATCAGGAATGCGGACTACTGGTGGAAACTATTTTTCCTGGTCGTTGGCCCGAGGAATGGATAAATGGTACGTCGGCTTCCACCATGGAGTATCTCGTACCATTATCCCACCCCTCGGTCCCCCTCTTTTTCCATTTACTCCGGAGGATTTACTCATTCTCATGTACTACCCTGTCTTGACCCTCATGCATGTCACCTGCATCGTATTTTCGTGGGAAATATTTCACACTATTTTTCAAACAAAACTTTCTTTCAGGTACGACGAGACTATATTATTACATTATTTATTATTGTATACATCCGCAATTAATTTTTTTCGGTTACAAAATTATTGATTTTCCACTCCCCCCTTGAATTCTAACTAATCCCACCCTTTTAACCCCCACTACCCCCTGCTACATTCCCACTATCCCCACTACGTATCGCAATTCTTCTCTTAACCCTCGTGAACTATTTTATTATTATTAGTATTATTTTTCACCCTCGACTAAACGTCGTCGGTAGAGGAGGACGAGAGACGATTCGCGTTTATCGACTTTTTGTTCTATTTTCATGCGCGTTTTCAATTACCCGGACAACGGGATGACAGCCGATCGCTGTCGACTCTCCCTTTTCTATTGTCGGAGTTCGTCGGGCGAGTAAGGAAAAAGGGAAATGTTTTTTCCCCGATTTTTCTCTCTCAAACTAATGGCGTTACCAGGAATTTCGTTCGGTGAATTATTGAAAAATTGCTCGCACGTTTAATACTATTTAACACCATTTGCAATATTCTGTGGATAAAAAAAAAATTTTAATGGACGAAACAATAATTTTAATTTGATTTTCCATTATATTCAGTTGTGAATCATCACTTATGAATGGAGGCTTTAATTTTTCTGCGCGGATTACTTTTTAAAAAAAAAAATTCATGCGCAATTGGTGCTTTTTTTCTGGGAGTTATTACTGAACTTTTTTCTGGGTGATGTAATATATTTATTGGAGGTAAATAATTGGCGGCTGATACCTCGCAATGATTGGGCGAAACTCAACTCCGGCAACGGCCTTTTATTTTCCTGGCAAACAGATCAAGTTTCCTCTTCCAACTTTGTCGAAATGAGCGAGTGGATTTGAACGATAACGGTTTAGTTGAAGAGTTGAGGAGAAGAGGCTCACTATTTTTATTGTTCAAGCTCTCCATCCGCAGGTGTTGTTTCACTCAAGAGCTGAATGTTTGAAGCCACTGGCTCCACCAAAACTCCAGATATACCAGCAGTACCCTGAAGTAGGCGATAATTTTTGAAATTTCGAAATTAAACCTTTGTTTGACTCCCCGAACATTATAACAACAAAATTGTTTAAAAGTTATTATTCCCCTCTGTCAGCACCAACTTTTCCCAAACATACCTCAACATCTCGATTTCGAGTTGATCCAGAAGAAGAACTCCTTAAAAAATAAGCAGAATCTTAGAGACGAGTGAACTAAAAGACTACCCTATCATCTCGTCTTCATCCTCTGCATTTTCGTGAAGACTGAAAAAAAAAACAAACCTTCGAACTCCATGATTTAGTACGTGTATATACACCATGATGAAATAGGAGTTTCACGAAAGGTACCCGACTGAAGAGGATGGTCAGGAAACTAATGAAAGCTTCTTTCCAAAGGAAAAGGTTCAATGGCTCTCTATTTTCTTTCAGTTCGTTTTCCGCAAGCCTTTCAAATTCACTGCAGTAATATATTTTACTACACTCTGGTTTAATCCAAAGAGATATCCAGCAACTCGATGCATGATTAGTTTTCACCGACGACTTCATGCCGCAGAGAAGGATGTACCTGAAAAAATGAATAATAAAAAACTACCGAAGAAGTCTGAGTGCTCAAAAAAAAAAGGGACTACTCAAAATAATAATTTTGCCGAAACATTTTCGAAGGGACGAAAACGGGTTTTCAATTTTGAATTCTAATCAGTCACTTAGTCATTATTCGTCAAGGTCACAGTTTGAATTTTCGCGGGCGGAAGAGGAGTGGAAAGAAATTTCAATATTGCCAACGCCCTTGCGGTTTTCTTCGCGAGAGAATTCTTTTTCAATACATTTTTCATAAAAACGTAGTAATAAATCAAAGAAGGTCGTAAGGTCGTGACAGTTGGACGCGTTGGGGTGTCTTCCTCATTTCTGATTCCATTTTTTTCGAATGGTTTTTTTTACGGGGGAGTCGTAAGAAGGTCCCTCCCTTGCAAAGTATGAAGTGAAGAATAAGCATGAGCTGAAAATGTTGTAATATCTTTGGTATGAACATCTGTTACAGGATGGGTTTTCAAGGACGAACGTGTGTTTTGCGCGCCCTCTGCGAAGCTTCACAGCGTCTGATGCCAAAAGGGGCGACTCTGGTGGAGGAAATGATGCGGATTGTCTTCTCGTAAGAATGATAAGTACAAATAGCTCTGTGTATGGAAACAAATGAAGATGCCCAATTCGAAGAGCTCAATGGTTGATAGGACACATCCTGGGTATTCCTTATAAATGGGAATGAACCAAACTCGATGCTTCTGGGCGTCGAACCGTTAAAGATTGCTGCAATTCCGTTGGGGCTTTGCTTATTCACTAGGTGGGGTTGCTCGAGGGTGTTACGATCCTTGGAATCGATTTCGAAAAGTAATCCTCAGGGAGAATACTAGGTGTAATCACTCGTGGATTCTTGTCGATCGATCCCAGGCTTCGCCTCCAACTCGATACGTTTTTTTCGATTTTTTCTTTCACTTCGGGACTTTACTTGAGATGTCGATTAAATCCTACGTTCGTGACAATCGTTTACTTGTCGAGTTTAACATGAAATATTTATTCGAGTGGTGGGTGAAATTTTATGGAATGCGGTGGGGGGATTGTCGGTTGATTTATTTAGTGGATGCTTTCGGTTTGGATCGTGAACGTTGCGGTGAAAGAGGTAGTTTATCGGGATCAGCTGTGGATGAAGGAACACCCGGAGAGAAAAATTCAATAAATTTTTTTCTCTTTCAGTTTCCTGACCTTAAGGATTTCCATATGATCTACAGCGCGAATAAATGCGAAACCAGTGATAATTTTCAGTAAATTTTTTTAGTTAAATCATATTGAGATTATGCTGATTCGATGAATTTCAGTTTTCTTTGGAATGACTCCAAATTGTCCAGACTATCCCAGTGAAATTGACGTTCTTCTGGTATTGAATGGCGATGTGGGACTGTAACACTGACAATTAGCCTGGAGGTATGGTCCAGCTGCGATATTTGATTAATTCTATCGTTTTGCTACAGGCTACCGCTGAAGAGGATGTTGCTGTCCCACGAGCCGTTGGAACACCACACATACACAGAGGCTCATCGTGCTGGCCACAGGGGCACCAGGTGCGATGCCATGTTCACGGGTTGTCCCTTCTCACTCATAGACATGGCCCTTGGGAAGTACAGCAGCGAGACTCTCTATGGATCTCCACCTGACCTACCAGAACCTGCAGAGGAGTCTGAAAATTCGGTGATGAGATAAAACGAAATGAAATTATTGGTTGAAATAAATTGTGTTCAAGTAATCTTTACAATTCTCTGTATATTCTGATATTCTTAGGTGCTTCATCATTCTCATATTTTCACTCATCAAATAATAAATGAAGAGTGAAAAATGAGTGGAGTAAAACTGGTGGGATAATTGGAGTCGTTCAATTCTCGATAAACAAAATTGGAGAAGAGTGAACTGATATCGATTCAACGGTTGCTGGCTACGCCCTAGTTTACACTCGGAGTGGTGGGGTATATTCCTCACATTCTCATTCTCCTTTTTCCACCGGTTCATTCCTTTTCTGGATCTTCAATTTCCTACCACACGTATCTATCGATAGTATCTGTCTCCATGCGGTTGACCAAAAAATTTCACATTAAATGGGGAAGGTGTCGAATGAACTCCGTGGGATATTCTGGGGTCAAATCGGCAGTGGGACCTCCGTGGTCGACCTTTTTTCGCTCGTGTAGAACCACCAAATGAGTAACCCCCATTGGAATTGGTCGCGATTAACGATCACCAGGGCGCCAATTTACCGGAATAGTTCTGGTTCGATGGTCAGGATTGTTCAGGATTCACCGAGGCTTATGTGGGAGTACAAAAAAAATATCGAATGCCTGCATTAATGAGTGGCTCATCAGAATTTCGTCACATGCGGTAAAAAAAAATTCGTCAATACTTTTTACACTCTCCGGATAAATTGGAGTATTGATTTTTTTTTTCCTCTGTCAATTGATATCGCAAATATTGAACTTTTTATGCTCTCGACTATTTCCGAAGTTTTAAAAGACAAGAATTCCAGACCTCTGCTTTTACTGAACGCCCAGAAAAGGAGCAAATTGGAGAGCAGAGAAAACTCTCGGGAAATAGATGGGGGAAAAAAAGAGATCGGCGCCGAGCGCAACTCTCGAAAATTATAAGTCCAGAGACTTTGGGAGTATTGATTCTTGTACTCCGTTGGGTCTTTTTATCCCCGGTTACCGGTGTGGTAAGTATTCTTAAACAAATTCAACTTGTCGAAAAAAGTTTCTGGTTCTTTGCAAGACAGAAGGCTGAAGTTGACCCCCGCTGTAAGTCACTTGTGTATTCAGAAATTTTCTCAGATTTACGTTTTCTCGCGAGTTGATGACCAGACTAACATGTTTTTTATGATAAACGTGGTTGAATAACCGGTGAAAAACATGAAGAAACATTTCAGTATTTTTAAAGCTCAGATACACGACGAAATCCCGAAAGATTGATAGATTGTCCCCTCGCGAAGCTCCATCATCCTTCCAAAACCGAATGAATACATCGGATATTCACGAACCGGTGCTTGAGTAGTTCGATATTATTGATCGATAATTCAACATCCAGACACGTGGTCTCAGCCCTCCTGGTGGTTTCTGTTCAATCACTTTGGCTGAGACGACATACCTCTCGTAAACACATCGTAAGGATGGAATGTCAATGTGATTGAGTGAGTGAAATGAAATCCTACAAGTGCTCAAACAACTCCATTTTTCATTACTGGCAACAGTCAATCATCGGAATGACCAATCCAAACCAAAAATTTTCCTTCTAACTTATGAATATCATATTCTAGATGTCCCTGATAAGATAGCCGATTTAGTTAGCATTAAAGATTTGGAATAGATGTTCCTTTGAAAAGTTTAGAGGGAATTTAGCTAGTAAGAAGGTTGTCACAAGGGATGTTTGAAGATCATCTACATGCATGACATACCAGCGATTGGCTGCCAATCGGGAATCTTGGTGTGTCCATGAAATTTATGGCATGAGCAGAGAACCTCCTGAACGCACCGAATGGGCACGGAATATCGATTCCATGGGAGAGAGAAGGATGTTTAAACGCGAACAACGGATGTATATATGTAACATATAGTGACGCTGTGCGAGGTGGCAGTATCTCGACGGTTTACGAGGCGATAGGTCGAGATTTAAGGGACATCCTCTCACATCCCAGCTATTCCATCGGTCTAGCGTTCGCTCATTGAGTGCGCTTGACAGACGCTCCTGGTGGTACAGTGACGCGTACACCAGAGGACGCTCCACTCACTCGACGTTTCTGGTCATTCCGTCCAGCACCACCGCTTGGCACTGACGGCGATCAATGCATTCATCTGATACATCCGGAAATTTATCATTCCGCGTGTACATCGTGAATCGTCTCAACCAGAATACTCAAAATTTCCATGTACGCTGTACTTCCTTTGGAGACTGAAGCGAATGAGTTGGAGATGATACAAAGATGGAATGGAGTGGAGTTTCACAAAGATGGAATGCCAAGAGCACAAGAATTCATGGTTGAGTTTCACAAGTCATATTCTCAGATTTCTCGTAATGCTCTGCAAGGAGAATGGCATACGTCTCTGCTTCAAGTATCCTGGGATTGGGTTAGGCTATGGCAGGAGGGGAAGACGAGAGTCGAGACTACTTCAGGTGAAAATGAGACTCTTGTGATATTGAGAGATGAAGCCCAAACGAAGTGGAGGAATTGTGGAGGACTAGCATGGGATTTATTAGGAATGTGAGAATATTATCACTTTTTGCGCTCTTTTTTTTTGTTTTTAGGGGATGCATTGAGAATCGGCATTATGGAATTGGAAAATATTTAGGAATTTTTTTTGTGTTTGGGGCTGTTTCTTTTTATCCCACAAGAGAACTCTGGAACAAGTATAAACTCCTGTTTCGGCACCGGTAAAATCATACGAATTCCAGGGTAAGCTGTAATCCATTTGTTTTCACCCATTTGTTTTTTTATTTCGTTTCCGTACTGCTTGCACCTAATGCTTGTCTGTTCGAGAGACTCAAACGATGCGGAACGGTAAAAAAAATCGAAAAAAAAATCCCACAAAAGTTGGAAAACCAGTTGTCCGGTTGTTCTGTAGTTTTCGGTGCTGTTTCATTTTCAATTTGTTATAAAACCCTACATTTGGGTGAATCTATACTGCGGAAAACTAAATAACACCGGGGAAAAAAATGTAAAAAAAAGGGAAAGGACGTGGAGAGTTTCCATTAAAATTTCAAGCGGTTTTTGCAAACCCGGGGAGAGAAAGAAATATCCGAATAAATTCTCTCGCTAATGGTGCAACCGATGCAAACATATTCACAACCATCGGGTTTTGACAGTTCCTTTTTTTTCCCCATCGACGGTTTGATATACTTTTTCTGGTTCACGCCATATTTCGATATTTTTGTCTCCCCATCTCTCATGGCAAGTTATGAGCAAAAATTCTGTCAAATTTCGGATATCATATATGGGATTGGGAGTCCATCCAAATATTTGTCGTCAAATATTTGGTGATAAATAAATACCACATTCATTATTTTTTAAACAATAATTTTAACCACTCGTTTATTTTTCTTTTTCTTTTGAATCGTTTTACATACGATGGATAGTTGCGTGTAGAATGTAGACGTTAGCTTATAAATAGGTTAGTTTGTTTTTTTTTTTTTTTTCGTTATCCATACATAATTGTGTTTCTTTTGTTTACTTTTGTTGTCGCTTGTTATTTATTCTTCAGTTGTAGATTCATTAATTTTCGTCTGTTTCATTCCCGTTAGAGTAATGGCGTTTAATTAAGTAATTAATACTTTACACAGTGGCACACACGCAGGTGTGTCTCTCAAATTTTTATTCATCCCACTTTATGTTTAGTTACCTCTCCATTCGTGTTCATTCGATCTATTATATTCTCGATTAACTCCAATTTAAATTCCTCTCATCTAGAACTCCTCCCACCCTTTCCTCATCTTTAATATTATTTGACTATTATTATTATTCATGTTTTTTTTTTCAATCTTCTCTATCTACTTTTTTAAATTTTCTTATGATGTTTTTCGGATTTCGCGTACGTCTTCTCGTTGGGAGTGGAATCACCGGTGCATGCATTTTTCCGTGACGTCTGTCAATTAAAAGAGTGAATAATTAAAATCATGTGATTTCGTCATTACATGAAAATTTCCTTTATCGAGAAATAAACAGCGGATGAAATATGAATGATAATTCAATGAAAATTCAATGACTGACGTCACTCGGTCGTTTAAAAACAATTTTTCATTATTTCAAATTCAATTGCCTTGTGATTATTTCTTGAGAACACGACAGCGGGCAAGAGACATTCATACGTACAGATATTTTTCATTACCAAAGACACATACGGACGCAGGCGCAGACGAACGGACTTGATAGTCGAGCCATATACAAAGACAATGAGAGAACGGTACATCATTTTTTTTTTTCATTTATTTCGTTGCTTTGTTGAAATTAGAATTTTAATAACAAATAATACGATTCATGTCGTACTCTAACATGAGGATGATTAATTTACCTAACGAATAGAGTATAACGCACGTGAGAAAGTTTTTTAGCTGGAGATATAGATACATAGCAATTTTCAATATCCGACACTAATGGTTTTTATGACTAATTAATCATCTGTCTGCACATTCCTCTCTCTATATACAATATTTATACATCATCCTCTTAATACGAGACAGCCTGAGGGCTCGACATTGTCAATAACCTTTTTACCACTCTCATTATTATTCTCTACAAATAGCGATAATAGGGTTGACGTTAATGTGTACATAAGAGTCAACAGATGAAATTGTTAATGTAATGAGGGGGGAGGGGGGAGTATTGAGTATGAGTGTGCGTATTTATAACGAGCATGAAGTGCCTTGAGCCTAATTTACAAAAGAATATTCCGTCGTCTCCTTGGTGTGAGACCAATTCAAGGAATTAACATCAAATAAATTATTAAAAAATATAATCAACGATTGTTTGATCGTCAGGCCAAGATGACGAGGGATTTTCGGATGCTGTTACACAATCACATTATTTTATTTGAAGACATGACTAATTCATTGTAATTATTTAAAATACAATTATATCACATGCCATTGTTTCAACTTAATAAATTTCTCAGACAGCCTATTATATTCATCTGTATCGGCGAATTGATTATAATTCAACTCCTGCGCGATTA